AATACTTGCCAAAGCAATCTACAGATTCAAAACAATCTCCATTAAAATGCCAACATCATACTTTCAAGATTTGGAAAAAATAATTCTTCATTTTGTATGGAACCAGAAAAAAACCTGTATAGCCACAGCAATGCTTGTTAATAAAAACAAAGCCAGGGGCATCAGCCTACCAGACTTTAGACTGGCCATAGTGATCAAAGCAGCATGGTATTGGCACAAAAATAGACATAGATATTTGGAACTAAATAGAAAACCATGAAATGAAACAAACAAAGACTAGGTATAGCCACCTAGTCTTTGATAAACCAAACAAGAACATACACAGGGGGAAAGAATCCCTATTCAATAAATGATGCTGGGAGAACTGGATAACCACATGTAAAAGACAGAAACTGGACCCGCACCTTTCTCCACTTGCCAAAATTGATTCAAGATTGGACAAAAGATCTAAATCTAAGGCATGAAACAATAAAAATCCTCAAAGAAAGTATGGTGAAAACACTTGGAGGTATCAGACTGGGGAAAGACTTTATGAAGAAGACTTCAGTGGCAATTGCAACAACAACAAAATTAATGAATGGGACTTAATTAAATTGAATAGCTTCTGTATAGCTAAGGAGACAACACAGACAATCATCAGAATGGGAACAGATGTTTGCATATTATGAATCGGCCAAAAGCTTAATAACCAGGATCTACAGATAACTCAAATTAATCAACATAAAAAAAGCCAACAATCCCATATATAAATGGGCAAGAGAGATGAACAGAACCTTCTCTAAAGACAGACGAATAGCTAACAAACATATGAAAAAACACTTATCATCCCTAATTATCAAAAAAATGCAAAATAAAACCAGCCTAAGATATTACCTAAACCCCAATGAGAATGGCCCACATCACAAAATTTCAAAGCTACACTTGCTGGCATGGATGTGGAAAGAAGGGAACACTTTTATACTGCTGGTGGGTTGCAAACTAATATGACCTTTTTGGAAGGAAGTGTGGAAAATCCTCAAAGAACTCAAACTAGACCTGTCATTTGATCCTGCAATCCCATTACTGGGATTACCCAGAAGAAAAAAAATCATTTTACCATAAGGACATTTGCACTAGACTATTTATCATAGCTCAATTTAAAATTACCAAAATGTGGAAACAGCCTAAATGCCCACCAAACCAGGAATGGATTAACAAACTGTGGCATATGTATACCATGGAACACTATTCAGCCACTAAAAAAGATGGAAACCTTACATCTTTTGTATTAACCTGGATGGAATTGAAACCCAATCTTCTCAGTAAAGCATCAGAAGAATGGAAAAGCAAGAATCCACTGTACTTAATTCTGACATGAGGACAACTGATGACCTAGTACATGGTAGGGGGTGGAGGAAGAGGGCAGCAGAGAGAGGGAGGGAGGGAGGAAGGTGGGGGGATAACAGTGTATGACACACCTCGTGGAGGCAGGACACAATTAGAACAGGGACTTTGGCTTGGCGCTCATAGCACAGTGGTTACTGTGCCAGCCACATACACTGAGACTGGCAGGTTCGAACACGGCCCAGGCCAGCTAAAACAACAATGACAACTGCAA